CTCAAGACTGGATAAAGAAGATTTTTTTATATCAAATAGAGTATTACTCAGCCAAAAAGAACAAGAAATTAGAGACATTTATAGCTATGTGGATACACGCTGACCCCTACTCTTAAGTGAAATAGATAGCATTCACATGTGTAAATACTGAATAGTTTCTCTGGTGTGAATAACTAAAAATGTAAATAAGAATCAAAATGTATAATTCTTACTGTGAAATAAGAAGAAAAATTCTGAAGGAGTAGGGAAAATGGGAGGGGTAGGGGAACAGAAAAAACAAAAATGAGAAAATATGTAAAAACATGGAAACAAAGTCTTTGTAAATAGGGAAGGGCAGAGGTGGTGAAGGGAGGGCAGGGAAATGGGGAAAAATAGGAACCAAAATACATCATGTAAGGATATAAGATGCTAGTGATGAATGTAACTGTATTGCGTACCTAAAATGTATCAATAAACTTAATGGAAAAAAAGAATTATAGGAATGAAGGAAAAATTAGAAGACAGCTCAGAAGGTAGAAAAAAATGTATTCATGGAAATCATAGGAGGAATTTTCCAAATCTAGGGAAAGGATGCAATATTCCAGTTCAAGAGGCACATAGAACTTCAAATTGCCATGACCAGAAAAGAACCTGTCTACCAAACACCATAAAAATATTCCAGAAATGTAACAAAAGGAAAGAGCACTAAAAGCAGTTCAAAAAATGGTGAGCAACCTATAAAGGCAAGCCTATCAGAATAAGTGTGAATTTCTCAGCCCAGATTTTAAAGGCCAGGAGAGCTTGGGGTGAAATTTCTCAAGCCCTAAGAAAACAATTGTCAACTCAGACTTATATTTAGTACAATTAGCCTTCAAAATTGACAAAGTAAAGACTTTCATTAAAAAAAAATACTAAAGAAGTACATGACTACTAAGCCAGCATTGCAGAGAATACTCTAAACAGAGCCAGAGAAGCCGCCGGCACAAAAGACCCCAAAGCTAAAGGAAAAAGGGAAAAGTCGTTAAAGAAAATAAAAAATTAAATCAATCAGCACTGGAAAAATAATGCAACAAATGATTCAATAAATACTTTATAATAATAATTCTCAATGTAAATAGTTTCAACTTCACAATCATAAGATACACACTGGCAGATTTTACCTAAAAACAAAAAGCAATTGTATGTTGCTTACACGATACATATCTCATCCAAAAAGAAGTTCATAGACTGAAAGGGGAAAAATAGAAAACAATAATCCAATCATCCAGAGCCCCAAAACAAACAGGAGTAGCTACCTTATTTTCCAAGACAGAAAGCATCAAGTCAAAACTGATCAAAAGAAACAAAAATGGTCATTACATACTAATAATGAGAACAATTCAACATGAAGAGACAATTATAAATATCTGTGGCCCAAAGGTTGGCACATTCAATTTTATTTAAAAAAAGGTACTAGACATAAAAGGACAGATAAACAACAACACATAGTTGCAGACTTCAATATCCTACAATTAGACAGGTCAACCTGACAAAAAAAATCAACAAGGAAATATCAGCATAGAACCACATCATTGAATAAGTGGACTTAACAGGTATCTACAGGGTTTCCTCCAACAACAGAATACACATTATTTTCATAGTACATGAACTTTTTCCAAAATAGGCCTTATTGTATACCTAAAATGTATCAATAAACTTCATAAAAAAGAAATGAGATGATTTCTTGCATACTATCAGATCATAACAGAGTGAAGCTAAAAATCTACAGCCAATGAAGCAACAAAACTATGCTAATGCATGTTGATTAAATAATAAAATTCAAAAAATACATTATTGAAGTAGTGGATCACAGAGGAAATCAGGGAAGAAATTTAAAAAGCTCCTAGAATCAAAACAATAGAATCACAATATATCAAAATCTGTGGGACACAATAAATACAGTACTTATAGGGAAGTTTACAGCTGTGAATGCACACTTTAAAAGAATAGAGTGAACCCAAATATGCAGATTACTAATGCATCTCAAGGTTTTAGAAAAAACAAGAACAATCTAAATCTGAAAATAATAAAACAAAGGTTATAAAGATCAGAGCAGAAATTAATGAAATTAAAACTGAAAAACAATCCAAAAATCAATGAGTTGAAGAGTATTTCTTGGAAAGGATGATCTGAGGATGAGAAGAGGCAGGAGGGAGGAGTAATCATGGACCATTCTTCAGGATAGGATCATATGATAGGTCACAAAAACAATCTCAATGAGTTTTTAAAAACTGAAATTATATTGATCATATTTTCTGACCGCAATGCAAAAACCTCTACAAATCAGTGATAAAAAATATTTTGGAAACTAAATTAATTAGTGGAAATAAAGAAATAATCAATGAACCAGAGAATCAATTAAGAAGGAAATTTAAACATTTTGTGAAAGAGGACATGGAAACACAACAAATCAAAACTCATAGGATATAGCAAAAGCAGTAAATAAGTTTAGATCAATTACTGCCCACATCAAAAGAGTAGGACCATCTCAGAAACAATCTGTTGTTGCACCACAAGAAATTAGAAATATAAGAAAAACTAAATTAAAACTTAATGGAAGGAAAGAAATAATAAAAATCAGAGCAGAAATAAGTGAAATAGAGACTTTAACAATATACAAAAATATCAATTAAATAATGAGGCAAATTTTCAAAAAGATAAAATTGACAAAAAGTCTCAACTAAGGTCAGAGACAAAAGAGACAACCATGAAGTATAAGGATTGTTAGAGAGTGTTATAAACAACTATATGCCAATAAATTTGATAACTTGGAAGAAGTGGACAAATTTCTGGACACATCCATTTTACTAGTTTTGAATGTTAAAAATATAGAAACATGGACATACCAATAACAAGTAACAAGAATGAATCACTAATATAAAGACACCATCAGTGAAAATCCCAGGGCCAGATAGCATCATTGCTGAATTCTGTCAAGTACTTAAATAAGCAACACCAATTATTGTTCAAATTTTTTAAATATAAAGAGCATTCTTCCAAACTCATTCTATGAGGCCAAAATTACCTTGATACCCAAACCAGACAAGAACACAACAAAACCAGAGAGCTACAAGCTAATTAGTATCCCTAATAAGCAAATGAAAGAATACTTAGGAAAACACTAGCAAACAAAATAGTCCAACACTTTAGAAAGATTATTCCCAATGATCAAGTGGAATTCATCCTAGGAATGTAAAGATGGTTCAACATTTGCATATGAATAACTGTGATACACACATCAACAGAATAAACAACAAAACTCACATGATCACATCTATAGATACAGAAAAAGTATTTGGTAAAACCAAACATATTCTTGGATGAAAACTCTTAGTAAATTACATATAGAAGAAAACATAACATAAAAATGATCACATTAAGCAAGTCCACTACTAACATGGGTAAAACTGAAAGCTAAGACCTCAGATAAGACAAGGATTGTAACTCTCACTATGTTTATTCAATGCAGTAGGGGAAGTCTGAACCAGAGCAATAGCACAAGACAAAGTGATAACAGGAAATTCAACTTTTATTGTTTTTCAAATTTTTGTTATGTTTTGTTTTGTTTGTAACAGGGATTGAACTCAGGATCTTGTGCTTGCAAGGCAGATGGCAGAGGGAACCACAGAGGTAAGTCCCCGGCCCCCAGGGAATTCAACTTTTAAAGGTGAAATTCAAATTGTCACTGTTTCTAGATGATGTGATCTTATATAGAGAGAACTGCAATGATTCCCCCACAAAAACTATTGGGAACAATAATTTGACAAAGTTCTAGGAAGGATACAAAACCAACATGCAAATATCAGTAATGTTTTTGTGGACCAGTAGTGAATTATCTGAAAAAGAAATAAAAAAGCAATCCCATTTAGAATATCTATAAACAGCTGGGGATTTAGCTCAATGCTTCTTACTGCCTGCCTTGCAAGTTCAAGGGCCTGAGTTCAATCCCCAGTACAAAAACAAAACAAAAACAATATCTATAAACAGTAAACTACTTTAGAATAAATTTAGTGAAAGAGGTGAGAAGAATCTCTATAATGAAAACTATAAATCCCAGAAAGCAAAAGAGGACACACACACACACACACACACACACACACACACACACACACACACACACACACACACACACACACACACACACACACACACACACACACACACACACAAACATTTCATGTTCACAGATTAGAAGACTCAACATTGTTAAAAAGTCTGTACTACCCACAGTGATCTTTCAATGCCATCTCTATAAAATATCAATGACACTCTTCATAAACCTAAAAATTACTAACTTTCATAAAGAACCACAACAAAGAAAATAACCAAAGCTATCTTGAGCCAAAAGAACAAACCCAGAAGACTGTGCTTCTGACTCTGAAATACTACAAAACTGTAGTAAGTAGCTTCTGTATAGCAAATGAAATAATCAACAGAATGAAAAGACCTATAGGATGGGAGAAAATGTGTGCTAACTATATATATGACCAACACATGCATTTGCTCAACAACACTAATCATCAGAAAAATGCAACTCAAAACCACAATGAGCCATCACTTCATTCCAGTTAAGGTAGATATCTATTATCAAAAGAATAAGATGAAAAGTACTGGTAAGGACATAGGGAGAAGGGAAACCTTACATTCTGCTAGCAACATAGATTAGTGATTTAGCCACTATGGAAAACAGAATGGAAGGGTCCTTCAAACAAACAAACAAACAAACACGTTAGCTCTCATTTGTCATTGAGGAGTGGCACAGGAAACTTTTAGACATAGGCAGAGACACGAATGGTGTCGGAATGAGCTCCCTGAACCTTTAGAATAACATGGTACATTATCAGTAAGCCTGTGTGGATAGCTGGAGCGCCCGTCATCATGTTCTCAGATGCTTTCCACACTGTCATTTGTCTTCTCTTGAAATGGATAGAAATAGAGATATTCATAGTTACTTCATATTTAAGCATGAGGAAGTCACTTACCTTGATGACTTCCCTGGGAAGATTTGTAAGTTTTTTCAAAGGATTTTGAGTGTATTTCACAGTGACAACTGGTGCCAGTGCAAAAAATATCTGGATCCTTTTTGCCAGTTCTGGATTTGTAGAAAATGCCATGAAAGCTGAAAGCCAGGAAGATAGTAGTTGACAGATTTAAAGTATTATTTTTTCATTTTATGTGATAGTAAAGTCAGCCACATTAAAACATAAAGCAAAATAAACAATTTAGAGTAATTACCATTTGTGGGGAAGGATTTCTATATATCCCAAGGATGAAATTAGCTAATTCAGATTAAAGCATGTTTACTGTCATTGGGGAGAGCTTGTCTACTTATATGGAAAGCATTGAATAGAGGGTCCATGCATCCCCTGTGAAACATGTCTGACTAATCTCTAAGGTCACAGTTTGACCATAGTCTGATGTCAGACAAAACAGGGCTAGAACTTTGGCTGCCCACTCATTGGTTATGTGAAGTTAACTTCTTGGCATGTATCTCAGTGTTCTCAGTTTGTGAACGAGGGTAGTAAGATTTTTAGAGGATGATTCATGTTTGCACGTGCACACGCACACACACACACACACACACACACACACACACATTGATGGCCATGGTCTCATGATCATAGATCATGATGGTCTCAGAAAAGCCAAGAACAGCGAGAGAACTGAAATGCCTCAAGGTACTGCCAACATGCTCTACTCACATCTGGCCTACCCAAGTGTAGACCAAAAGTAGTAAACAAGTCACACTGATTGTAGCACAAAAACAGAGTTTTACAATTTTCTGCTTTATTTTTGGTGTCTTTCTCTGACTGTGAGATCCCCAAGGGAAGTACAGACATCATATTTATCTCTGCCAACCCATCATGGAACCCAGTGTCTCACAATGCCTGTGGAGTGCACAAATAAATAAATTAATATTCTCTCCTTCAGGCTCATCTAACAATTTCCTATTATCATCTTTGTTTTTTTCACTCTTCAGGAACCACACAGAGAAAATGTTCTTTTAATGTTTTTTTTCACAGAAAGAATTGACCCCTTTCACAGAGATGGAAGAACTGCCAGTCGGTAACGTCTGCCCCAAACATACCTATGGTGGTCCCCTGGGAGTAGCCCACATAGCAGAGTTGCTCTTGTCCAGTTTTCTCTATGATTAAATCAATAGTGGCTGGAAGGTCATATTTAGCCATCTCATCCAAACTGTCAAGGAAAAGAAACAACAATAATCAGAAAAGACACCTCATGTCTGGCCTGAAATACATTCATTCAATAGATAAATACATAAATATTTTGCTTTGGTTAATATGAGAATAGTCTTAGTATGTGATATTATGCATCTGAGCAACTTTTAAGGTTGTCACTTTGATAGAAAGAAACAACATTTTTACGAAACTAGAATCAGAAAAATACAAGTTATAAAGCCCTACTGATACTTTTCTTGTAAGCCTCCTAATAGTTCATTTAATCCTATAGCAATGCATCAAACTCTTGTGAAAGAAATTGTTTGGAATGCTTACTCAAAACACAGATTTTCAGATTTCAGCCCAGACTGAACTGAATCAGTATTTTCAGGGAAAATTTTTGATAATCTATAAATTGATCAATGGGCTCGGGTGCTTAGGATTCAGTGCAGAGTTCAGGCAACACTCACGGAACTATCTTGTCCTTTGCAATACTGCCATGACCTAATGACCCTGGGGTGTGGAATTAAGAAATACCAGTGCTTACCAGGAAGAAGATAGGAAGGAGATTAAGGATCAAGAAGCTCTGCTGATTTCTAAAGCATGGTTCATAGCCACTATGCAAGTCTTATGGGTTTTTCCTATGACCAAGTAGGTCATGTTTCTGAAGCAAACAGCTTCAGGCTCCTCTGTGGGAACACTCATCTCTTTAGCCATTCTGTGATCAGGACACACCCATCCCAAGAAGGAAATGAAGGTTTGAAAACAAACAACAAGGCAATAATGAGGCTTCTTCTTTGGAGCTCAAATAGAGGAAAAAAAAGTGAGTATTCACATATATAAATAAGCAGAGTACACACTTAATGTATTAGCAGGATTTTCTTTACCCAAAGGCCCAGAATTCTGATGATCTGGGTGACAATTTCAGGTGTTTTCTGGACCAGGTGTTTCCTCGGCTGTTTCCCAACCATACATCATAACAATTATCTGCCAGAAGGAAAGCCAAGCTGTTGTCGGGTGGATTGCAAATCCAGTCACTGGCAGATGCTATTAAGCCATGCTGCAAATATACAACAGGCTTTGGAGCTGCAAAACAAACAACAAGAATTTCGTGTCTGAGCTTTCTCAGAGTCTACATTAAAATCCTCTTATTAAATACATTTATTTTATTGGTACATTTTAGATATGCTGGCATTCATCATTGGGAATTTGTGCCTTTACATGATAACATCTTGCTTCTTAATTTCTCCCCGTTCCCCTTCTCTCCCTTCAACCGCTCCCTATTTGGAAAGACTTTGTTTCCATTGTTTTTCCTTTTCTCATATTTATTCCATTCCCTTCTTTCCTTTACACACCCCTCCCACTTCCCCTTCCCCTTTGGACACTTTCTTCCTATTTTACATCATCTATCATACATTTTGATCTTTATTTATACTTTCCGCTTCTCACACCAGAGAAACTATTCAGTATTTACACATGTGTGTCCTATTTATTTCACTTGTGTTTGGCCTCAATGGGCACCCATTTAGCTATAAATGTCTCTACTTATTCTTTATGGTTGAGTACGACTCCATTTCATAAACAAAACAAAAAAACCACCACATTTTCTTTATCTAGTCTCCAGCTGATGGGCAATTTGGCTGTTTCCAAGTTTTAGCTATTACAAACGGTGCTGCTATGAACATGGGTGTGTATATATCACTATGGTATGATTATTTTAATTCTTTTGGGAAGATACCCAGCAGAGGGATGGCTGGGTCAAATGGAACCTCTAACAGTAATTTTTTGAGGTATCTCAAAACTGACTTTTTAAAAAACTGATTTGCTAGAATATAGAAGAGAGGTTAAGAAATAAATTTTGTTGCCAGGAAAACCTGGGATATAGTATTTTCTGAACTACTTACTTGGACAAGTAATCTATCTTCTTTATGTCTTCTGTTTCTCATTTATAAAACTGAGATTATGCAGAATGTATTATGTAAGCACTGGTGTCAGAGTGCCTTTGCTCAAAATCCATTTTGCCATATATCAGCCCCACTGTGGTGTAATTTCTCCAAACATTAATAACAAATGCTATCTCTTGGACTAATCAAAAGAATTCAATGATAATTAAATATATAATACGAAAGACCTAGCATAATAAATAATAGTGTTATTACTATAATACATATTAATAGCACTTTATTTCTGACAAAACATCTAAGAACTTTAAGTTTTCTCAAAATATTAAGAACGATAATGGTAAAATTGCCATTTGTTGAATATTTACTGAATGCTAGGTACTATGATAGGGTGATAGACATTGCTTCATTTTATTTGAACTGGTACAAAGGAATTGGTACAGGGTTGCAAGTAGAGTTTCATAAAAATGAAATTGTTTATTCAATCTAAATGTCCTATTCCCAATGTAGAATTAGAATATTTCAACTAAGAAAGTACAGTAAGGAAGTGGGTATTATGTGGTATCAAAAAGAGCGAAAAAAAGAAAAAATGATTGGGTTTTTCCTCTCTTTTTTAAATAGTTTCTGGTGCTGGGTTGATACCTCAAGACCTATCGTCAGGTCACTTTAGGGCTGGACTATTAGTCTGAGACTGAGTCGGCTGACGAGAATCTCAGAGACTTTAGCTTTTTAGAAGCAAGGAACTGAGAGTCTAGGTGGATTTATCCCTGTTTTGGAAAGAAGAGAAAAAAAAGAGGCATCACTAACTCTGCCAAAGTAAAGTACGCCGAGTAGCTATCTCTCTGGTCTGAGGCCTCAGGGGGTCTTCTCAGGATAGAACTTTATATCTGGTGCATTTTGGCAACTATGTGGCAGAAATGATAAATGAAAAGTTCAGGGAAATTTAAAATAGTCTCATGAATGTTTACAAAAGTAAAGGAGTTATTTTGGCAAATGGTTGGCTCTATAAAGTTAGGAGCACCGTTACATTTCCTTCTTTTAATAGAATCTGGATTTTTCTTTAACTCCTGCTCCCGAGAGGTTTTATACTGCAATATGAATAACAGGATCTAAGAAATAAGAGAAAAAAGCAAATTGCTTCGGCCACATGGATCACTCTTTTCTCCCCACACAAAGCAACCTGCAATATAGGAATCTAGAAACGATTCTTTAATGAAGTTTAAACAGAGAGCTAATCGGGACATATTTACTTTAAAAAATAAAATTGGTGGGTGGAGAAGTGACTACAAATGAATTAGTATGAATTAGAAGGTATTGTAATAGTTGAAGAAACTTGGTCCAAACATGTATTTGAGCTTTAATGATGAGAGAAATTTTCAGATTAGAGAAAAATTTAGAAGGCAGAACTGAGAGATCTTGGTGACGGGCTGCATACAGGGAAGTGAAAATGATGGTATTATCAAGAATAACTCCTTGCCTTCTGGTTTTCAGAGTGTGCAATGGTATCAGTAGAGTAAAATGCATTTTCTTTTGTTTTTTTATTGGGAATGAGACAGGGAGAGGTAAAACAAAGTGTATATGAAAATAATTAAAACATCAAAGAGTTGTGCAAATTAAATAGAGGTAGGGGTTGGATCATCTTCTAATGAAAGGAACTTCAATTTATTTCAGAAAAAAATTGTCCTGCTGCTACCAGCCCTTCCGGGCATTTGTGCCTGAGTTATTTTTGTCATTTTATAGCAAAATAAATCATACCTGTTTTCTCTGGGCATCTTCTTCCATAAGGAATCCTGTACGTTCCAAGGATATAACCATCCTTTGTCACAATATCATATTTTTCATAAGGATAACCCCAATAGGAAATAATCTGGCTCTAAAACAGGGAAAAATACTTTTACGATATAATCTCACTTCATATACATGCATTACAATATAGTACTTTATTTACATTATAACCGCCTGTTCTCTCCTGTACTTTGATTTATGAATTAGGACAGCACATACTTGCAAAAATCAGGAAAACTAAGGAGGATTCCTAGAAAAGGTGGCATGCAATGCCATGGGAAAGGCAAGGTGGGCTAACTCAACCACTCAGTTTCTACAATGCAGTTTCCTCAGGAAAATCTCTGGTTATGCCTGTTGGTCTAATTTTTTTAATTCACATCGATTCATTTTTAAGATGTGTTGACAAAATTTATATGGTTATGTAATGAGGGAGCCACAGGAGATTGTGCAGTATCTTGTGGCTGATAAGTGAACTATTACCCACCTAGTCCTGAAGGGAAATGGAAGGGAGGAGCTGTCAGAATCCAGACAAAGAAAGTCAAGCAAAGAAGGTCAGATTAAAAGATAACTTGTCATAATTTAACTTCACAGAGGCCGGGACAACAAAAAAATCTGACCTCATCCTCCTCTTTCTTTCGAGCTCATGCTCAAGGTTTTCATTGGCTAAACTAATCTGGATGCCAAAGGTTAAGGGAACTTGTTGACCTGTTCTTAAAAGTCAACCTCTTGGCAAAGAGACATAAAAGAATAGAGAATGAAGTAATGGGTCAGTAAATGATGCCCTGTCTTTAACTAAGCAAGGAAGAGGGAAAATGGTATCTGTTTGTTGACTTCTAAATAGAGGTTGTATACCCTGTCTCATTAATCCTTACAAAAGGGCCCTTAAGATAGATTTGTACCTATTTTATACTTGAGAAAACTGTTCAGGAAGATTAGTAATTTGTCCAAGGAAGAGCTAAAGACATGATTAATGACAAAGAAAGTCAAGCTCCAAGATTTATGTCTTTATCACAAGATTATGCACTTGCCCACATCAAGGAGACAGATGCATGCATGATTTATGGGATTGTATAGAGCAGTAGTTAAAAGCCCAGACTGGAGAAACAGACTGTAAGCCATTGAATTCCTGCTATTCCTCTTATTAGCAATATCACTGTGGGAGAGTTACTTAACCTTTTGGTGTTCATTTTACTATTGGAGATAACAGTACCTACTCTCAGGTTTGTTGTTAGGATTACACATAATCTAGGAAGAAAAATGTCTGGAACAAAAAAAATTTCCTATAAATGTTTGTTATTATCACTATAGAATTAGGATGAAAAGTCAAAAAACACTCAGACTAGAGGAAAGGAATGTGCACGAATAGAGAAAGAAGAGGGGAATTTGGATTTCAGGACACATTTATAAGCAATTTGGCAGCATGGAAGGAGGTCAAGGCTTCTTGTTGGATAGTGTAGAGGAGTAACAAGAAAAGACACTAATGAAAAAGAAAAATTTGACAGTTTTAGTCTTAAAATTCAAACACAAGCTTGGGTGTTGGGGAAAACAGCAACAGTGTACTGTGTGCCTAGGAATATGGAGGATACCATGGAAGGAAGTGTAGGGTGGACAGTTGTCATTTTCTTTTCTTTTCCCAGCACAATCCATTCCATTTCTTGTATGGATTTTTAGATATGTTGAGCTGGAAGAGACAGTTTAGCTCAGTGATAGGGTGCTTACCTATATGAGGGAGGCCCTGGCTTTGATCCCCAAGTGTGTGTGGGGGGATTTTTATTAAGCCACAGAAACCAGCTATTAACCAACGCTGCATACCTCACAAAATCAAAAACACTGCTGTACCAAAAGCCTCAAGAGTAACTCAAGGATGCTCTACAGGAATCAGAAATCATCAGTATAGACTTGTTGTCCTTCTTCCGTTCAGGAAGCCCCCACTAGATTGCAGCTCAAACTACGAGGAGATAGAATTTGCCTGCTCTTTCTTGGATCAGATCTTTCATTTCTCGAATGTCAGCCATGTCACACAACAGGGAGGAGCACAGACTTAGTTACTGGTAGAGTTGTTGAAAATTAGGGATATCCAGTGTATCTTATATCACGAGTACTTAATAATGCCTTATTATAGTGTTTTTTCTCTCAATTCATAACTTACAATGTTCATATTAGCTTCAGGATTTGTGTTACTTCTTTTCTCGTCATAACCACATATAGGTCCAAGAAGAAGTACCCAGCACACTGCTGCTAAAAGCTGCCACATTTGGCGTTGGCCTGGGAAAGGAAATGTTAATGTATTTTTCATAAAAGAGAAACTTCGCAAGATGTAATTTGGTGTAATCTTTTTATAACACTACTGTGGGAGAAAGCAAAACATGCTTCTAGGTTGTGCTTTAACAAGTAACATACTGAACTACTCAGGACTCACATCATGAAAAAATCTGAAAATTATGACTTATTTATTGAGGAAAGAAGAAACAAAGGGAGGGGGAAGGACAATCAAGTCTTCAGCAGACAGCTGGACAAATGAAAGTGGTAGATAATTCATAGAAAAAGAAGTATAATGGCCTATAATCAAAGAACATTTACTATCTCCAGCACCAGCTAGGTTTTTTTGCGTTTATGTTGGTAGGAATTAAACCCAGAGAGTTACAGATGCTACACAAGAGCTCTACCACTGAGCTACACCCTTGCTTGGCAGATAAGTTTTCTGATTTTTTTTCCTGAAGGTAAGAGAAAACATTGGTGAAACGTGTTTATGGAAAGAAATGTATGAACATGTTTTGCAAAATTTAAAATAATTTTTATCTTTCATTCTGTAATTTTTTCCCAGAAATTCATCTAAAAGAAAAATTATATATATATATAAACATGGTATATAAAATTATTTTTATATCTTAATGCAGTAAAATGTAGCCAAGTAAAGGTTGATGTAATAAATTATGGGTGAAAAAGAATGGAATTATTCAGTTATCAAATGTTATGTGTGATATTTGCAATATCATAGTGCAAAATATTGAGAGAAATTAAAATGTAAATTATGCATTTATTTTGCATTCAGTAATGAAACAAACTACAGACTAAACAGCAATTTTAATTGTAGTTATACCTAGACAGTACTGATTTGGATGGTTATCTTATTTTTAAAGTATTTTCCATACTTCTATAATTTTCCATATTCAGTATTACCTCATCATCTGAAAGAAGTTATTATTAACAGAAAAATTTTAAATTTATAAAAATTATTGGAGTAAAATTGTACATTTCCCATTTGCCTTTTAAACTATGGACATTTAAAAGCAAATGTGAACAAATAACCCAACCATTTTGTGAAAATAATAAAGGGGGTTGTTTTGCAGGAGTACTTCCATTTACTAATGTCTGCATAAGATGCAAACCTTCAAATAATGTAAAAAATGTATTCGTTACTGCCAGTCTGTTCTGGTTTGTACCCGGTATGAGAGATGGGAAACATACTGTAGGAGATGGAAGAATTTTCACAAAATGCTTTCCCTGTTCTAAGTTTCATGAACTTCTCCTGGATTTTGTTCTCTATTAGATTATGTTTGTGATATATTAATATAATTAATAACGCATGAATTATATGTTAAATATATAATTTTATAGTAATATATGGACGTACAAATTAATATAGCTGAATTCTGGTTCATCATATGACAGGGTTATAACATCACCATTAGCAATATTTTTTGTTACAATTAGGACTGTGTATTGAACACGTATTATGTGCCCGAGTAATGTGTCAGACATACATTGTCTGATTTTATTTTCAAAGTAACCCAAATGAACAAAAATATTATTTTTAGTTTATTTCACATGAAACTGGGTGCTACAGAGGTCAAGTAATTTTCCAAGGTCCCTAGATGGTCATGAAGTCTTAGTCTGACCTTATGTTGCCTAACTCTAAGGAAATCCTTCTAAGCATTATATCTTAACTACTCTGTTCATTTTGAATAGCTTTACTAGGGCATCCTGGCTACCATGTCTAAGTGTTTTTCTCAGTGTTTCCAGTAGACCACAAGTAATGTAATAATCATAATTATCACCATAATCATCATAACAATGAAGATTCCTAGACTCTATAGTCAAACTGAATGAAAATCTATTATGGGATTGGTTGGGGGAGCTGACTTAGTTATCTGCTTTTTAAACCATCTTGAAAAGTAGTTCATACACATTCCAAAGTTTGTAAAACAGCTAGACTGACTGTACTCCTAAGAAAAACTGTTTTATATTCATTTCTCTCTCCGAGACCTACCATGGAGGTTTTTTATAAGTGTTTGTCAAAAGATGGATGCATGAGGAAGAAATGATTACATCATTAAATCTTAATAACTAGTCCAGAGTGACTCCTAATTTGTGTCTTATCTTTCTAACTTGATGTTGGTCCATACTACTTCATCTCTTTCTCTTTGACCATAAGTTTTAAGAGTTGATTATGTTTTTAATTCAGGACTGCATCATACAGCCAGGTAATAGGGAAATTTTAAAAAATCGATCTTTTCTTTCAAGGGCTTGACAAATTAGGTGCTCTAGTTTCTGCTGAGTAATGAACATTTTGAGACTAAGAAATGTAATCAATTAGCAGGTGAACCTAGGTTACCTGAGGTAGAGCAGATCCAACTCTCTTTTGAAATGGTCATGCTGGAGAGTTTGTGAAGGCTTGTACTGGTAAGGGGAAGAGGACTAGCTACATGGCTAACACAATATGCTGCTTAGAAGAATGGAGCCTCAAAGAGTAGCACAAGAAGGTACTAGTCGTGACATGTTGCCTTTTGCAGCTGTGACAGCAAGCCCACCAGCTACCTTCACTTTAGTCTTCTGTGAATTGGATTTGCATACAGAAGGGCAACACAACCAGGCAAAAGGAGTCTCTACATGTCTTATTTCGTAAGGAATGGAAAGTGCACTACAAACAGATTCATTTCAGACACCTTTCACCAGGATATGCTTGGCTACTTTGGCCTATCTAGGCCTCATTCTAGTAACTATGATTGTTGGGTGGGTCTGCCTGGTTGAGGTCCCCCCCATAATGACACTTCAAGAGTCCTCATTCTTTGAGCAGTTCTATGATAGCTTCCCGATGAATACTACGTGCTCATGTGTCTCATATTGACTGGATGTTGCTTTACACGACAGTGAATAGAGACATTAAACTAAGAAGAAAACAGTTATGATTTTCAGGACATTTTCAGCTTTTAAAGGTGAAAACTTTGACCTCTGGTACCCAGACCAAGTCAATATGGATTATTATATATATAAAAATCTATAGTGAGTTACAGTGATTTATTACTCTAAATCAGTGTTTCATACTGCCATATAAAACATGACTCTCATGGATAAAAAGGGCCTCGTGTAATTATATGTTAAACTACATATATAAATATATGTTTCATATATGACTTGATTGGATAGTTTTATAAAAACACTACATATGACTTACTTGGAGAATTTTAATTTACAACTTGCTAGTTAAGGCTCAGGACAGTCTTGTAACCAAGATACTGTTTAACTTTGTTTAATCTACTTTTCTAAAGTCCTAATTGCTCATATTTTATTGTGTGAATAATACCAAATTAAACATTCTCTAACTTGATTCTGCTGAGGAATACAGTGAAGAAATGCTTCTTTGATAATTGTTTCTTTTTCTACTCACTATAGTCTCGAACACACAAATCTGTGTCATAGAGGAAAGGCCAAAGAGATGCAAATAGAGAAAAATCAGACCTTTGTCTTTCAAGACTTTCTTCAGGCAGATATCTCCATGACTGAAGACACCTGTTGCAGTCTTATGTAAATTTGTTTGGAAAAAAGGATACCATTAGGAATACAACCACTTTTAAGACTCTACCATTGCTCAAATATCTTCCTTCTCTATTACTAGTTGTTTGTTTTCACTTACCTACTGCAGCCACTGGGAACTGTGAAACTTTCAAAAGACTACAGCCTTACTGCATTTTTCAGTTCGAATTGAATTTAAATGTTTTACATCAAATGTGTGTGGATTATATTTTGCACTGACAGATATGCATTGTTGGTAGAATCAAGGATACCATTTTCTCAACAAAAAGTGTTAAGAAATACAAGAAACTTTCATTCCATGTTTCTCATTGTCCTATAATAAGAATTGTCAGATTCATCAGACATTCGCCAGATCTTATGTCCAGCAGCAACATTCTTGATTAATTCACACCTTCAATCTCAAGTATGTTCTTGAATGGAGGTGAGCACTGGTCAGAATACACAGGTACAAAGACCATCCAGGGAGCTCCATCATGAGTTTCTATTGAAATGACATAAAGGCCAACATCTATATATGGCTCTCTGATGAATTTGTTTGTTCAACAGTGAATAAAGCTAATGGTGACTACTGTCTTAAAAGTGTTGAGTAAAAAGCCTGGCTCTGTTCTTAAGAGGCTATGGAAACCATAAGAATGTAGCTCTATGATGTTCAACTGCAGGGGGCAGCAATGGCCACCAGCCACAGTTCTGCTTACAAAGCCATCACTGTGTTCCACTGAAGCCACAAACTGTAGACTTATTACATGTTGGGACACAGTTGTTTCTATTAGCTGTATTGCTCTGCTCATCCACTTAATAACCCTGGAACTTAGTTCCATATCCGTATCATTAGGATAATAACAACACTTACCTTTAGGGTCAGCTTAATATGGTAAAAAATTATATCATAAACAGGATGACCAGTAGTATCTGAAAAACATCTAATAATTCTTGTCTCTCAACAAACGATAGCTATTATGACAACATATCTTCTATTATTCAGTGATTCTTTCACATGTGTTTTTCTTGGCTCTATCATCTTAAATATTTTGTGTGTTTTGCATCATTCTTATCTTTTGATGTCTCTAGCCTTCCTCCTCCAGGATATTGCACAATTCTTTCAACTGAATTATGAAAAATGATAGCATACTCTATACTAATACTTCTTCTCAAAGAGGATTATGAAAGAGCAGTTAAGAACTTGTTTTTGTTTTACCTCTATACTTCCTATTTCTTATTACTTCATTTTTGGCTGAGTAGAGTGACCTGCCTATTTAATCTGTAATTTTTATGCCATGGGATGAGACTCTACATGTTTATTCATTGTAATTATCATTTTCCACTTCTCAAAAATGCCAGTATAGAATTCAGGAAAGGTCTATTACACTCATTTTTTTTCTTACTGTCTCTTACTCTCTCCTATAGAGTTACTCTCAAAACATTAACTGACATTAGAAAATT